TATGCTGATAGATTAAAAGGTGTTGCTTGCTAATTTTAGGGATACCTTGTAGTCTAGGTTTGAACCCTGGCATAGACAGGCCTTGTTTAGTGTTGAGAGCCAGCTGTTTGAATACTTAACGGCAATACCGAACGTAAAACTTGAAGCATAGATAAATCGTAAGATATAAGGTGGCTTTGATAGATGAGTGCCGCCCACTGGAAAAACTGCTTTTATTTACCTTTTATTTAGAAAAGCGGGAAGGGAATATTTTCGACATCGATAGTGAAGTCTCAGAATGACTCACTTGTATTATAGATAAACCAGTACGTACTAAAAAAATAAATTATATTGTAAATACACGTATAACGTTTTTATATTAAAATAAGCAACCTGCATCTATAGCGCTTGATTTTATAAGATCTCTATGATATACAGAAGTGTGAAACCCTTAGATCCATTTTTCCCCATTTCATCTAAAACATTAGAGCAAGGTGCAGTAGTATTAGTTCATATATTACTGGCTTGTTCAATTTCGTGCAACTAATATCCTGATAATACCGAACATCAGTTATCCAAGGCTATGTTTAGGAATTTGTTTCGAATGCCTTAGACGAATTTTATTTATATATCCAGATACGTATTGGTTATGTCAGGATTTAAAAAGGTGTTCCGGCCAACCGACCAACGGAAAGTCCATATTGACTTCAAGATAAATGGTCATTATAATACGAATATACGATCAGGTAGATACAAACACAACAAAATTGAAGCTTGTAAATATCAGAACTTGTAACTGTCGATATTTCACTCACAAAATTTGTGTCGGCTTTCTTTTCATAAAGCAGTGACCATTAAAGACAAAAACACTTGCGATTCTATAAATCTGGAAGTAAAAGAAGATTCTGACATGAGTAAAAAGAAACAGGACGACTTCCACTAAATACTCTCTAGGAGCAAGAAATATGCGGAAAGGAATTGTTTAGGATGCTGTATAATAGATTTTTGGAAGAAAACATTATTGAGAAGGCTACGTTCTGCTATCGGGAAACAAGTGGATAAACAAAGCTAAAATGTTTGATTCAGATTATCCGGAGGCTGATTAATTTATCCGGTTGTTGATTCGTTGGGATTAAAAACCTGTCTATTATTATCTGTATTAATATTAGATTAAAAACATAATCTCTATAATATTAAAGCAAAAACGGACTATAAAAGTGCTTACCAGAGACTTTTGCTATTAGATTTGTAAAATATACTGAAACACAAATATTCTTAATACCATACCACGTTCCTCCAAGACTAAAGATTGAATTACGTCTATGTAATAGAGACGGTCATAAAAATAAGTTACACATATGATGTTGCTTCAGTCGTTCTATTCCATAGAAAGTCCAATGATATATGATTATGTGCGGAGTTTTTGAGGATCCAAGTATTACTTTAGAAGACAATCATGCTTTTCGCCCGAAGATATCTTTTCAACTGGAATGTAAATCTTTTTCGATCGATTTTCCGATGCCTATGTACAAATAAAGTTAATCAAACGTCAAAATCATTATTGACTATTAATACCCTTGAAGATCTTTATATAGACTGGATATCACCATAAACCTCCATTTGGCGTAAAAGATGCTCCAGCCATTTTCCATGAGATAATGAATACAATAATAATTGACTTCCCTGGAATATCAGCTTACGTAAACGATGCAACAGTTTTCAGGACAATAGCAGAGCATAATGATCGATTTGTTCGACTTTTGGAAGCCCATGTACTTCCTTTTTTGGGCTTTTGGAAAAATACACAATTTTGGGTTTGAAGTTAATTATATAAGATTTCAACGCAACTCTTTAAGAATCATTTTGAATATATTTAAATGAAAACCCGATCCGAAGAAAATCGAAGCTGTATTACAAGTGCCCGAGCCTACTTACGTAGGATTGAGATTTCTACTAGGGATAATAACCTATTTCTCAGCGTTTGGTTTCGAGTTTTGTCTGGTTGTTAAAGAAAAATATTAATTTAAATTGCCCCAAAAGGACGTAAAATCGTTCTGGTCAAAATAACGCTGGAAGTTAGATGAAATTTTATAATCGGACCTTTTTCTAACTTATTACGATCCGAAATTACCTACTATTGTTGCATGTGCTAGCCAATGGATAGGTCTCTTACCAACGTCGAACAAAAATATAAAAAGTTACAGAAAAAGAAGGCGCGAGCTTTTGTCTTTGCTCGTTAGCTATTTAGAAAATATGTTTATAAGGGAAAATTTTTTTTATAGATATAGATTCCTGTTAACAATCCTCAATCATAAAAGAAATCATTTTTTAACGACACTACACTAGAAAGTAATGGTACTACATCAAAAACGGGAATGTAGTTACTACTAAAACAGTTATATTCCACTCACTTAAGTATTAGCTAGTCAAAACAATGACATAGAAAATATGATACACGAGTGATCTATATCAATTACTTGACCATAGCTCCAACACAGAACTCGCCTACTACAACTTGACTATTTGAAAAACTACATATTGATTTCGCAGGCTTTCTTGATGGTTCAGTGTTCTTATTGCCATATATGCCTCTTCTGGTTGGCGTCTAACTTATACGATACTAGCTATAAAAACGACTATTAGAGCCTTAAAAAAGACATTTTCACACGGCTCGGCAGTCCCCACAAAATATTAGTGATGAGTTCCCTCAGGAACCTTCGCGAACATTGCTAGGTCCCTTGACAGCATACATATTAAAATCGTTTAGTAGTTATTTTAAAGCAGAACGAATGGAAACTTTTGATACAGTAAGTGACTTATTTGCGTTGTTACCATGAATTTTGCAGGGCAAACACCTAACAATACTTCTGGAGAAAAGGCCCCGTACCGTAATAGGCTTTGAGGAGGAGGAGAGGAAAAGCTGTGACCCTACGATCTAGACCCCATACGATTTCTTCCAATAATAAATATTAAAAGTAGAAACCGCTTTGAATCGTCAACTGGTCCGATCTAAGACATGTATCGCGTAAAGATTAATATACATTCGAGTGCAATACCTATAGTGGGGCTGCCGACCCTATCCATGTCGAAATGAGTGTTGCAAATTTGTTCCTTTTATATAAAAAGTGGTTGCTATACATCACGAACGAAAAATCTTGGGCTTAACATGTACTCAACATATCAATCAAAACCTAAAATAAAAATATAATTCAACACTCAGCAAACCATCATGAAGCCAATTACCTGAGTATCCATCACGTAACCACAATAGTTTGACGCCGTCTGAAAATCAAGAATAATCATAATACGCAACTATCCACAAGGTTTATTGTTACAGGTAGATGAAAAACATGAACATTAATTTAAATAAGAAGGTTTTATAATGAGTAAATAGGATTATGCCAAGCCATTTGACACTTTGTTGGAGCAAGATAATGGAGTTATTTCTTTAGCTAATATTCTGCTCACCAATTTTTTTACCTTGATATGAGCGCTATCCAAAAACTGCAGAACAAAACGTCGGATATAGAAATCATTGAAAATGCATACACCACGAGTGTCTAAATTTGGAGTTAAAATTTCGCTCATGAATGAAATGCCGAAGCGAAACACGATTTGAAAAAGAATCATACATGTTGATATCATTTTCAAGATCTTCTACATCCATCGTATTCTCCCATACGTTATGCTCACTAAGTACCACTATTTTCGATCTCTGAAAAGATAAAGTTCACAAAAGTGCAGTAAAAAAAATCCAACATTGATCGGGCAAGTTGTTCACTACCAGACCTAAAATTTTCTGGAACTATATTCGTTGAAAACAATAAAATATCTTAGCAGCGAATACATCATAAAACGCAGGCTACATAGCAGTCAAGAGAATTTTAATCAGATCTGTACGACGGATTTACGTGCTCCACGACATTACTGATATTCTTAAGCAGCCAGTCTTGCACAAACTGGTTACTACGTATTGATGCATCGTTTCGCTGGAATAAATGTGGCCTTCCTTTAGTAATTTTAGGTACCCACTATCATGTAACTATTCGCAGAACACGCAGATAAATAGCGTTTTAATGATACGTTCGTATTTCTGAAAGGAATATGGTGGCATTTTTCTTTTACTAGGCAATACTCAGAATAAGCTTTAGCTAGAAGTATGATTTTACGTGCAAAAGATATCTCGTCAACAAACCAGCAATCGTTTTCATGGATGACTTTTGTATCTATGATAGGCATTTTTCATCAGAAAAGGATCAAATGAAAGAATTTAGCAAACGCCATCGATAAAATCTCTTGGCTCCTTGCTTTTAAGAATCAGATTTTTGAGATACAACACATACCTACAATGTTCATAAACAATCAGGAACATGCTAGGTATACTCACAGCG